ATTCTGTGGCTGTTCTTAATATTTTTTAAACAAAAAAACTGAAGAATTAAAATAAGAAAGAGCAAAGTTTTTTTTTAAGATTTTATTTATTTATTTATTTGAGAGAGAGAGAATGATAGATACAGAGCACGAGAGGGAAGAGGGTCAGAGGGAGAAGCAGACTCCCCGCCGAGCAGGGAGCCAGATGCGGGACTCGACCCCGGGACTCCAGGATCATGACCTGAGCTGAAGGCAGTCGCTTAACCAACTGAGCCACCCAGGCGCCCGCAGATATAACAGTTTTATGCAGATGGTCAGAATGTGGTTTCTCCTACTATATACAATTATTTCTAATAAGCTAGCTCCCTTTTATTACGTTCTATTTAAAATTAACTATGGTTCTATAATTGTTAAAGTAGTATCAGATAGACCTGTAAGGTCACTAGTCTGAAGTCAGAATCTGAAACATTCTAATTTCAAATTGTTCTGTAAAGCAAAACCAAAAAATAACAGAGACAAAAAAATTAGTATTATGAAAAGATCTAAAATTCTTTTAAAATAGAAATGGGCAGAAGACATGAACAGACACTTTTCCAAAGAAGACATACAAATGGCCAACAGACACATGAAAAAATGCTCAACATCCCACCGCATCATGGAAATAAAAATCAAAACCACAATGAGATACCACCTCACACCAGTCAGAATGGCTAAAATTAACAAGTCAGGAAACGACAGATGTTGGCGGGGATGCGGAGAAAGGGGAACCCTCCAACATTGTTGGTGGGAATGCAAGCTGGTGCAGCCACTCTGGAAAACAGGATGGAGGCTCCTCAAAAAGCTGAAAATAGAGCTACCCTAAAACCCAGCAATTGCACTACTGGGTATTTATTCAAAGGATACAAACATAGTGATTCAAAGGGGCACATGCACCCCAATGTTTATAGCAGCAATGTCCACAATAGCCCAAATACGGAAAGAGCCCAAATGTCCGTCGATGAATGGATAAAGAAAATGTGGTATATACATATAATGGAATATTACTCAGCCATCAAAAAGAATGAAATCTTGCATTTGCAACCTCATGGATAGAACTAAAGGGTGTTATGCTAAGTGAAGTAAATCAATCAGAAAAAGAGAATTATCATATGATCTCACTCATATGTGGAATTTGAAAAACAAAACAGATGAACATAGGGAAAAGGAAGGAAAAACAAAACAAGATGAATCAGAGAAGGAGGCAAACCATAAGAGACTCTTAATTCAGAAACAAACTGAGGGTTGCTGGAGGGGAGGTGGGGTGGGGAGATGGGGTCACTGGGTGACGGGCATTAAGGAGGGCACTTAATGTGATGAGCACTGGGTGTTGTATGTAACTGATGAATCACTAAATTCTACCCCTGAAACTAATAATACACTATATTTTAATTGGTTTTCTAATAAATAAATAAATACATAAACAAGGAGGAAAATAAATTGACATAGATTTAGTTATTATTCCTTGGCATATGACCACAGAGTTATAATTAAACATTCTTCTAAACAAGTCTTTTAAAATTACTTTAAAAATAATTAATTAATTAAAATAAAATAAAATAAAGAATTTTACATTTATGATTTGGGTTAAAGACTGCTAAGGAAACTTACTGTACATGTTTTCTTTTGCTCTTATTTCTCATTAGTGTCAATATTGGAAGAATGGTGAAAATGTACACTTAGTTACATGATGCCTATTATTGATAAATTAACAACTGCATCAACATAATTATCCCTCTATGGCTACTGAAGAAGTTTGGTAATAAATAATTAACTAATTTGGTTCTTTTAAGATTTTATTTATTTATTTGAGATTGATAGAGAGAGAGCACGAGCAGGAGGACAGGCAGAGGGAGAGGGGAAAGCAGACTCCCTGCTAAGCAGGGAGCAGGATGCAACTTGGGGCTGCATTACAGAACCCTGGGCTCATAACCTGAGCTGAAGGCAGACACTTAATCAACTGAGCCACCCAGGTGCCCCTTATTAATTTGAATTTTTAAATGTATTTACATCTAGACCTATGATTTTAAGCATAATTTTATGAAGTACAGGTAGTTAAAAAAGCTTGAATTGATAATTAAAATTATAGCTCAATGACATCTTTCATCAGGAAATGTTTGCCCATGGAAAAGGTATGCATATTTTTTTGTTTTTTTTAATCTAGGCTCAGAGTTTGTTGCAGATACACAATCCTGCTGATTTTCACAATTTATCTATGATATATGGAGATATGTGCCTCTGTTCTTCTCAGAAGAGACCCAGAATATAAGATTTGTTCATAACCATTTTTAAAAATAAATTTTAGAACACTTTTGGATTTACAGAAAATGAGGACAGAGTTCTTGAATACCCTACCCTTTGTATACTCTACCGTTAATAGCTTACATTACTATGGCACAGTTGTCACAACTAAGAAATTAACATTGGTATTTCACTTTTAAATAAATTCCATATTCAAATTTCACTAGTTTTTCCTTGATGTCCTTTTTCTGTGCCAGAATCCCATCTTGGATGCCCCATTACTGTAGACAATGAGGTTCACTGTGTGCTGTGAAGTTTAAAGGGCTTTGACAAATGCAGGTATCACGTATCCACCATGACAGTACCATACAGATGAGTTCCACCATCTTAAAAAGCACTCTTGTCCCCAATCTTTTGGGAGTTCCAAGAGGATCAGTTTTCAACTGATATTTCAGCTTGATCTTTGGTGGGAAAAACCTAGGCTATGAGTTTTTTCAGGCAGTGGTTCTCAATCCTAGCTGTACACTGGAATTACGTGGCAACCTTTAAAAAATACTAATGACTGGTCCTAACTCCAGATCCTGGTTTCATTGGTCCCTCCTGATTTTATTGGTCTGACATGTGGGCCTGGACATTGAGATTTTGAAAAGCTCCCTAGATGCTCACAATGTGCAGTTAAGATTCAGAACCGCTGATCTTGCATTCATCTGTGTCATGACTGGATTCAGCTGCCTTTTGATAACAACACAAATGATTAATTCATGCATTCTACACCACTTCGGAGGGATACTATGAACTATCATGTAAGTTTTTTAAATAAGTAATATAGCAAGGATGAATTTCACATGCTAAATAATCATGTATGCAAAAACACTATTTACTCTCTAACTGAACCCAAAATGAACTTCAATTTCTACTGCTGAGGGCAAATTTAATTTTGACAAGTCAAAGGGACTCAGTTACTTCACCTTAAAACTTACTTCACCTTAAAACTCACTTCTTAAAATTCAGCTTGGCCCTCTCCCCTTCTCTGTCCATTTTTTTCCCTGCCCCATCTCGGTTTGAGTCCAAGTGAGCTTGAGTGGCATGGTCACGGGGAAGGCACATCTGGTTGGAGGAGGCTTCTGTAGTTATTTTCTGTTTGATCAACCTGGGCAGTGCTGGGTGATCTGTTCTGGGTGTTCCACCATGTTTCAGGTTGGTTTGGCCATCACCTCTGCACTCTAGGGTACTGCTAATCCTCTGACATCCAGCCACTTTCCCTGCCCAGCACTTGTTTTATGGCCTCTACCTAAGTGTCTATTAAAGGGTCCCCAGTCTCTAGATTTTGGTGACTACCTGGTAAGCCACCTGCTTTCAGTTCTCAGCTACCAACTGTGCCCCTCTTCAGGTTGATAATGCAAACCTTGCAAACATTCTCCATACCCCTTGGCAGCTAAGGGAGATTAGGTGGCCTCTTTCAGGTCTGCTCTAAGCTTAGATCTGCCCTGAAACCATTTCTGCTCTACTTTAGTTGCCCCTTCCCAGAATTCTTGACAGAATATAGGTCTACAAGTGCTCTCTGTCCAGGGATCCCCAAATCCCAAATCCATCACAACTCTCCAGAGTTTCAACCCTTAAGAGAGGCCAAGGAACCAAGCCCCATCTTTATATCTTAAGTCTCCTTTTTCCTCTTCCAGTTTCTTCTCACAGTATAAAGAAGGCAAGAAGAGAAAACTGAGACACATTATTACTTATTCCTCCCCAACCTATGGTCTACATCATGAATTCGATGCTTGCTCTCCTCTAGGTTCTGCTAATGATACACAGTGCCAAGATTTTAGAATTTTTTTTTTAAAGATTTTATTTCTTTATTTGAGAGGGAGAGAATGAGAGATGGAGGGCACGAGAGGGAAGAGGGTCGGAGGGAGAAGCAGACTCCCCGCCGAGCAGGGAGCCCGATGCGGGCCTCGATCCCGGGGCTCCAGGATCACGACCTGAGCAGAAGGCAGTCGCTTAACCAACTGAGCCACCCAGGCGCCCAAGATTTTAGAATTTAAAAAACGTTTCTCTCTCAAGAATCTTTCTCAAAATAATGGGTTTATACACTGTTGCTTCTCTTGTGTGTTTTCTAAAAATCCATCCAGAAATCCAGTCTCCTTCTGTGTTCTGGGCTATACCTGCTTTCTGCTCCACTGCAGTGAAAGACACTGACTAAAGTGACAAAGCACTTGAGGCATCAAGAGAATAGTGGCAAAGAAAAATCTCCATTGATGTCTCAGAATAATACCTTCTACCATCATATCATAATATGATATGGACCTGCTACTCCATACGAATGTCAATTTGCAGTTGGATAAATTTGGAAGGCAAAACAATTTCAGTGCAAGTTGTAATAAAGGTCAGTAAGACGTACCTGCATTTAAAGGCACATAGATCTTTCCTCACATGTGACAGAATATGCTGAACATGTATTTTAGGATTGAATAAAAGCCCCAGACCACATGCATTTGAGACCTCAGGACACAGAAGAAGAATATCACATCTATTCTGTATATATTCCAGGAAGATTTCACTGCCAAGGTGACAGGTGGGGATAGCTATCCAGAAGAACTTTAGTCGAAGTCTACTGAGATTTAAAAAAAAAAAAAAAAGACAAATCAAAGCAACTGAAGAATGAAAATCCCCTGGAAAAGCAGATTATTAACTCCGTGCTCAGGATCAAAAGATGAATAACCAGACTTTGTCATTTGTTTCATCCTCAGCTGGAAAGGCAGCTAATGATGCAGAATGAAATGAGAGAAAGACAAATGGCCTTGCAGATTGCTTGGTCTCGGGAATTCCTCAAATATTTTGGAACCTTTTTTGGCATTGCAGCCATCTCTTTAACAGCTGGGTATGTTTGCTATTTACTTTAAATTTTTCTTAAATAATTAGCTTCTTTTTGTTTTTGACATTATCATATTACTATCAAGTTGGCCAAGATAGGACTTTGGTCCAAATACTGTATATATAACCCCTTATAGCTTAGTACTTGGAAGTAACTGTAGAACCAGGGTAGAAATAGTTAATTCTACCTTTAGTTTCTCAGATTTCTTCCATCCTTGTCTCCATTATGTAAGTTAGAGAGAGGACTGACTTGACACCAAGATAGAAGAAGGCCTCTGCAAATTTATCTCCATAATCCCTAAGGGGTAGATATCAATACTTAATCTTTTTTAAATGAGTAATCTGAGCCTCAACATCAAACAAAGATGGGCAAATCACAGATTCTGCCCTTGAGAATTGCAGAATCTGGTGAGGCATTGTGGGTAAGAAAATCCTATTTCCATAGGAGACTCAAATGAACTAAGTAACTTCTAAAATGGAGAACATTCTTCCAAAAAGCAGGTAATTTTTTTTCATTGAGTATAGAGATACGTATTTACAGGTCATTCTTTTTTTTTTTTAAAGGTTTTATTTATTTGACAGAGAGAGACACAGCGAGAGAGGGAACACAAGTAGAGGGAGTGGGAGAGGGAGAAGCAGAGCAGGGAGCCCGATGCGGGACTCGATCCCAGGACCCTGAGATCATGACCTGGGCCGAAGGCAGACGCTTAACGACCGAGCTACCCAGGTGCCCCTTTACAGGTCATTCTTAATATTTTTTTCTTTTTTTTCTTGAACCAGAGCAATAAGAAGGAAGAAGCCAGCCTTCCTCTTCCCTATTATTCCATTAAGCTTCATCTTCACATACCAGTATGACTTAGGATATGGAACCCTTCTACAAAGAATGAAAGGTCAGTCTTTGATAAACTAGAATGTATTCCTGATTCATTTTCTGATTCAAGGATCCTCTTCTTACGACCCTTGATTTATGAACATTCTGACAAGACGCCTCTCCCTGAGCTTCCAGTGACCAACATTTCTGCTCCCTCTCACAGCAGTATGCTGGAGTCAGCTCATACCAGCTCACAAGAACTGACTATCAAATTTTCAGGAATTTGTAAGCTGTTTATTAAATACAGTCATTATTAAACATTAAATTAGATAAACTTACAATTAAATAAATTACAAAAAATAATATTAATATTAAATTATATTAAAAACAATGGCAATAAATACTCAGAACTTATCAGTTTTTCATTATTTTACTATTATCTGTACTCTGAAGTTATGTTTATCTATTGTATCTGGGTGATAGAATGCAGATACAATATACACACACAATAAATAACAGATACAACTCCAACTTCAGTGGCATGAAGTTGGTCATGGTGGGAATAGTTATACCATGGAATCTGCACATACCACAAAAAGGCTTGAATTATTATTTTGTTGACCGTCTAAGCCAGGGTTTGGCAAATTATGGCCTGCAGGGTGGCCACATGTTTTTGAAAGTAAAGTTTTATTAAAACAGAGACATGCCCATTCATTTCTGAATTGTCTATGGATGTGTTCCCGTTACCATGACAGAGCTGAGTTACTGGAACAGAGACGTAAGGCCCCACAAACCTAAACTATTTACTGTCTGGCCCTTTTAAGAAAACCTGCCAACCCATAATCTAGATTTAAGGAAGTGATAAAGCAAATGTTAATACTGCGGATTATGCTTAAATGTTTGTTGTGTCAGTAGCCATTACATTGTGAATAGCACAAACAATTGAGGAAATATTCTCCTAACATTTAAAAACTGTTATCAGATTCAGCCAAGTTGTTTACATCATTCCCAAACAAAAAAAGTTCCAACATATGTCATTGTTTCCACTTTTGTCCTGTTTGTTAGGGTAAATGAAAATACCAACCATCATTCATGTTGGAATTATATTCCCTCATCAATTGCAACTATAGCTCAGCTATGAATATGAGAGTTCAACAAAAGTCAGGCAAAACATTCCGTGAGAATCCATTTGCTATGTGAAATTTATAATAAAGTATATTGAACATTTCATTATTTTTTATAAATTATGTGCTACATCTATTTTATATAAGTAAAATTAATAATGAACTTATGTTCATAAGTTTATAACTCATGTACATTTGTTTTTCTGGAGAGCTGGTTGTTAAATAATCACCTCACCGTGCTGCTCTCATGAACTCTGGCTTTGAGTGCCCTAGAAAATAGCACTGCTGCCTCGGAAGCCATCCCTGTACCAGGAAGACTCTCTCATGGGGCCCGTGTCCTTTCTTCTTGAGCCTTCAACCCAAAGCATATTGGAAACTGTGCTTTCCCAAGCCTTCATTTTTGCCATCCTTTCCTCTCCTGGGCTATCTGTGGGCACATCACTATCGCTAAAGCTCTGTGGGGACTGATTTGGTACCTGAAAGGAGGAAGTGCTGACTCCTCTGCAGGTATTGGGACTAGGGAGTAGAACATCTCTTTCCCAGGCCTAGGGAGATACAAGGATTATATGTTCTTAAAAATTCCCATTGAAGATGGGAATTTTCCACACAGAAACTCTGCTAAAAGGTCCCTTGGGGTCAAGCACTATCGGTATCATAGTTCAGCTATATTGTGGACTAAACAGTTTTTTGTTGGTGGTCTAGCAAGTGATTTATTGCATTATCACTATGGGAAAATGTACTTTGAGTTCTAAAACACTGATACACAAACTAAATTTTGGAGTACAATCCCATTTAAGCTGGAAACTAACTACACAACTGATTTGCCAATGTTAAAGCCCATATCAATAACATGTTCAGTTTCATGTTACTCATCTGCTTAAGAATTCATTAGTCTGAGTTCAACTCTGTTTCATTGTTTATATGGACATTAGAATTCTCAGTGCCTCATAAAAATTAAAATTAATATGCATTCACTTGAACATATTACTAATAGAGAACAAGTTTATTTTCTAGGAACATCATGATTGTATATTTGGGAAGTAATTTTATTACAGGTCCATCAGAGTCCACAGAACATACAATTTTAGACTTTCAAGACAGGTGGGAATTTTCTGTTTAAAAAAAATACAACTTTACAGTCTACCAGGAAACTTGCGGTATTTGAAAGTTTAGGTTATAACATTTAGCCCTGTTAACTAGTGATAAACCCAAGATATACCCAATCCTTGTTTGACAGACTTTATCATTAGCCTTTCTGCAAACACATGAGAATTTGCCATACGTGAGGCACTATCACATGGAAACATTTAGTCTGTCATCAGAGGTCTGTATAATTCCATATATTTTTTAGAAGATTTTATTTATTTGAGAGAGTGAGCAAGAGAGAGCATGAGCAGGCAGAGGGAGAAGGAGAAACAGGCTCCCCACTGAGCAGGGAGCCCAACGCAGGGTTCAACCCCAGGACCCTGGGATCATGACCTGAGCCAAAGGCAGACGCTTAACCAGCTGAGCCACCCAGGTGCCCCATGTCTAATTACATATAATTTATAATGATTTTTACTTACTATTTAAGACTGAGGCAAAAAAAATATGATTGCAGATGGTTGAAATGTTATAATTTGAAAATTGTAGCCTGCCCTATTCTGTCTAGAATGTAAATTAATTGTGTGCTAAAAGAGAAGTACTTAAAAAGAAACATTTGCTTTCATTCCCAAGGAAAGTTTATAGAATGTCAACAATGTATATTATAATTTTTTTTAATTTTGCTAATTAGTCTTCAACTGGGCCTAAGAAATTACTAGCTATTACTTCAAAGAGGAATTGTTTATAAAAATGCTTATACTTGGGGCGCCTGGGTGGCTGAGTCGTTAAGCGTCTGCCTTCGGCTCAGGTCATGATTCCAGGGTCCTGGTATCGAGCCCTGCATCAGGCTCCCTGCTTGGCAGGAAGCCTGCTTCTCCCTCTCCCACTCCCCCTGCTTGTGTTCCCTCTCTCGCTGTCTCTCTGTCAAATGAATAAATAAAATCTTAAAAAAAAATGCTTATACTTGTGTGTATGTATATATACAGACTAAAGAACATTTAATATTATTTTGGGTATTTACAAGTGGTTTTGGGTAAAAGATTAGCTTTCCTGAAAAAGCAGAAATTCATTAAGCTTTATTTTCTCTCATGTCACATATTAAGGGGCAATACAGCAAAGACTATATTTTGGTTTCTCCATCCCAAAACCCTCCAAACACAACTAATGCTTACCATCCAAGGAAAAAATATTACTTGGTATTCTTTCTCTTCTGCATCTTAAAATGCTGTCTTCTGTCAAGTAAAACCTATGGCATCTGATTGATCTTTCAAAGATTTATTTATATATTTACTTATTTAAGATAGGTAGAGAGAGAGAGAAAGAGAACACAAGCAGGGAAGAGGGGCAGAGCGAGAGGGAGAAGCAGACCTGCTGAGCAGGGAGCCCGATGGTGGGGCTTGATCCCAGGATGACCTGAACCAAAGGCAGAGGCTTAACCAACTAAGCCAACCAGGTGCCCCTGACTGATCTCTCTCTCTGTCTTCAGAATTCCTTTTTCCTCCCAAAGGAAAGAATGGCCTTCCTTTGGGAGATGGCTTCTCCTGAGGACAACAGGTAAAATATTTAAGTGTGAGATTTAGAGGCATGCCTCCACACAGTGTTACAGCTTGTCACTGGAATATAGTAATTTGGCCTTTTCACAAAACACTAATGACCTTTTTGTCACCTTGCATATTTCTGTACTTTATTTAAGGTGAAGCTGAGAACATACTGGAAACAGAAAAGAGTAAGTTGCAGCTGCCAAGAGGCGTGATCACTTTTGAAAACCTTGAAAAAGCCAGAAGGGAACAGAGTAAATTCTTCATAGACAAATGAAATCATGTTTACCCACCAAATCTCAAAACACATAATTATTAACTTGAATCATGGTTTTTACAAATTTTTAGATGATTGAGATTTTGATATAATGGATTTTATTTTACAATATTAAAATGCAAGATGAGTTTTGTTAAACTATTTTAAAATAAAATTTATAACATCAACACAAAATCATGGAGGTATGCTAAATAAGTTTCATATTTCCTATAAATGTGTGTATTACAAATATCTAAATGTATAATTAATAAATTATATTGTTTTGAATTCCTGGAAGCAAATGTCCTACTGCTCTCATTTCTCTGTCACACACACTTTCCCCATCACATTTATCTCCCACAGATACTTCTTTTATTTGGATTTATCAATTGTGTCCTGTCTCCACATGACAGAAAACAACTAATATTAATGACTAACATTTATATTGTACTTACTATAGCTACTGTTCTGAGTATCTTGCATATATTATTGTAATCATCCCAACAGTCCCTTGAGGCAGGCATCATTTTACGGATGTGTAAACTAAGGCACAGAGAGCTTAAATTACTTGCCCAAGGTCATACATGGGCAGAACTGAGACTTGAATCTAAATGGTTTGGTTCCAGTGAATACGCTCTAAAAGGCTTTGAAAAGCTTAGGTCTTTAACACATTCTGGACATGCAAATACAGCTTTGAAAGACAAAAGGTAAAAACATTCAAATGATGACTCAGGACAGAGTTGCTGAAGAGATGAGAATGGGGGACGTTGATTAGGATGCCTACCTTTTTATTTTCACTCACCAGGAAACCTATACTTGTAACTGTATTTATACCCCTTCCCACAGTTGTAACCCCTACATATGATACAATAATTCCAAAGACATTTCCTGATACCCACTCTGTATCAAGCACTATTGTAGACACTAGGGCTACATGAGTGAATGAGAAGACAAGGTTATTGCATCCTAGGCAGTGGAATACGTTCTAGTAAGGGGTGGGAGAACTAAGGAAAGGAACAAATAAACATGGAGATAAAGAAGACCATTTCTGATGGTCATGAATGCTTCAGTAGAAATGAAACAGGATGATAAAAGAATGATTGGGAGGATGTGGGAGGGGGGACTATAAATCTGGGACAGTAGGGACTGCCTCTCTGAAGAGTAACATTTGAGCTGAGAGCTGAATGATGAATTAGCCAGTCCTGTGAAGAGCAGGAATGGGGACAGGGAAGGGATCTCTCCACAAAGGGAAGAGCCAGAGACTCAGAGACTTGGCATGGCGAAAGAATAGAAAGGCCAAGCGGAATAATAGGAGATGAAACCTGAAGGGAGAAAACAAGCATGAATAGCCGACAAAATGTCGCTGACCACATGTCAGCATATGAGTTTGATACAATCATAGTTGGAGAGAACTTTGGTTGAGGTCTTGAAGGATGCATTGAAGTACTCCATGGAGATAAGGAGGCAGGCTGGGCAGAAGAAGCTTGATTAAAGTGATTAAAGGCAAGACAGGCTATAAATCCAAGGATTTGCTGCTGATTCCATTTGCCTGGGACAAAGGTTTCGTCTGGTAAGGGAGTTAAGAAATGAGCCTGGAGGCACAGCTTATCTCCTGACTAGCTCTGGGGCTTAAGGAATTTGCACTCTATCCTGAGGATAACCAGGTGTGTGTGTGTGTGTGTGTAAGAATCTGCATTGGGGTTTTACTGGAATTAGTCTATTACAGGAGGAAGATCCCAGAACCTGCAAGAACAGCAAAACTGGGAAAATCATTTGAGGTTGTGGAAGGAGAAGGTAATTTCACTTCACTGAGTCATTAGCATGGATTTTTCTGGAAGATATAGGAAAGAAGTGATTGGGAAGCACACCAGTGGTCTAAGGGATGCTTAAGATCCAGCACTGGTTTATGGACCATGCCAGAAGCTGGAACTGTATTTCTTTCCCCTTAAATTTAGTCATGCTGTCCAAACATCCCTAACTTGGTCCAGCCAGAGATCACCAAGAATGGGTTTGAGTGCCCTGCAAGGGTTGACTAGCTAAAGACCTTACACAGGATTTGTGTTGGTATGCAACATAGCAGGCTCTGAGCAACCTCTGGACCACCAGGCCATTCATTTGCATTTGCTTCTCACCCTGGCATTGACCCTGAGCCCATTAATAATTGTTATTCAATAGAGCCTCTGCTAAATACACACATTCACATTTTTGTTTGCTCCCAATTGTGAGGCAAAAGTCAAAGCAAAGCTATTAAATAATGGCTTTGCAATTCAACTATATTAAAATATATCCCAACTGTCTTTGGTATTACTGATTATCATCCAAAACTTTTCCCCTTATTTATTATTAAATATAACAATACTATTATTATTATATTATTGAATATAATACTTATAATTGAATGGACAAATATTTTTGCTCTGACATTGTTGAGCCCTTCTTAGTCATTATGTTAGTATTTGCATTAATTACTATTATTACTATTAGTAAGTTCTGATTACCAACCAGGCATCTGATATTTCTAAATACTGAACATGACGTGGTCTTTGTTCGGCTAGCTTATAATCACAGATTTTTGTGATATTACAAGAAGAATGAGGAAATTATTATAAGAAAGTAAATTAGGAGAAAAGAAACTAAGGTCTGATTATAAGCAAGGATTTAGAGATTAGAATAATGGTAACCTCACCTGATGTCTTTTCAGTGATTAGGAACAAAGCTGAAGTGGGGGGATCTCATCTCTATTCCATGTAACTGTGCATCTTCCCCCAAGACACTGCTGACCCAACCAAAACAATGAAGGGACTCCCTCTGCTTCATGTGGAGGTTAAGTCGTGGTGTAAAGGAAATAAATACGGGCCCAGAAGTTCTCTGCAGCAGAATGACCCTTCTTGGAAATCACTTTATAGTAATAAAATATAATGGTAAAAATATAGTTTCTAAGAGCGTAGTACTTAACCATTTTGAATGTTTTAAAATCATATTTAAATGAGAGAACTGGGGACTAAAATTACAGGCACTAAAATTACAAATAAAGTTTATATGGTGTTCTACCCAACTCAGTTTGTGTTTGGGGTAACACTGAAGGGTCCTTTATGGTCTAGCTACACTTTGTAAAGATTATAGAAGTGCCCCAAATCTACTCAAAACAGTTTTAATGACAAATAGTAGAATTACTGTCAAGATGTTAAAAAGAGAAGACCCTTAAAATGGTCTGGTATAAGCCCCCATTTTCTTAAGAAAATGGAGGCCTTTAGCGATCTACCTAAAATTCCACATCTGGTAATGGGTAGTTTGTACTAAAATGTTGGTGTTTTGAATCCCTGCCAGGACTCTTTCCAATGCAACATGCTGCATGACTCTGAAACATGGAGTAACAATGAAAGTCAAAATCAAAAATGTATGTTTCAATTATCATATATCCTCAGCCTCAGAATCCTAGAAGAGGGGATGACAAGGGCAGGGGTTAGCAGAGGATGAGGAGGGAGTGGACTCAAATTCCACAAAATACCTACAACCAATGGGATCTGAATGTGAGCAATCTGAAGTTCATAATATATTTTATAGACTTCGACAATATTAACACATGCAGGTTCAAATGCGATATTCTAGAGACACTAGCCAGAACCTAGATAGTTTTTCTGCTCAACTATTCTGAGAAAGGAACAAACTCTTGCTAGGAAAATATTACTAAATAAAGCCTGTTACTCAGGGGTTACACTATCTCTTGGTCTTGGAGTGTGTCTGTTCTGCTAGAGAGTTGGAAACGCTCCTTAGGTTTGGCCTTGTGGATGCCTACAGAAGATTTCAGGAATACCCTGCATCCTACCAACTGTCCAGTTTGCAGAAAGTAGTTTCTAGTACTCAGGGATGACTACTTAGCATCTCTGCTGATTTTTCTACTGGTAACTTTGGGTCACTCTTGGAGTTTATGAAGACTGGAGAAATGTTTGGGCTGCAGGTGTACCAGGAAGCCCAGACTGGCTAGGGGCAGTGGAGGGGGAGTGAGAAAGGCCTAAAAAATAAGGAAAATAAGAAAAGGGCCAAAGAAGAGTAGTCTTCATGAATGGATGGAACTGACTCAAATGCCCCTTATAGTCAATAGCCCAAAAATGGTTGCCAAGGGAGCCACTGGTTGGGGGAGCTGAGCCCCCAGGGACCAAAGTCACCTGTGGGGTTCTCTTGCAGGCCAGTTTATTTTGCTGTGCTAATTTATTCCTTTGGCAACTTGGATGACAGTAAGAAGTGTGTCTGGGTAAAACAAATTCATCATGACCAACAATAAAAGCAACTGGAAACCTATATCCCAGTGATAAAGACTCAATGATATTGCTAAGTGTCAGGTTTAGAAGACAATCCTGGGTCACAATTTCTCAGTCCAAAAGTGTCATGGGGTCGAATGATGGATTGCTAACCTCAGTTTATTTATTTTTTCTTGGAGGACTTCATCCTTGGCCAGCAGCACTCTGTGGATGTTTTCTGCTCTGCCTGGACATAGAGGATAGGCAGACAATGACCCTGAGTTGGTTTTGGCATTTCATTTTGGTGTTAGAGGAAAAAAGTTCAGGATGTGTCCACATGAAGTCATGTCCTACGGAGGACTGGCAATCTGTGATTCTGGCTTGTGAAGGCTTAAAAAAACTATAAGGAAACAGCTGTTGAATATATGTGAAAGTCAATGGATCAGAGATACTAGTTGACTTTGAAATATGATGAAGTCTGTGAAAAGCTGTCAGGATATCAGGATAATATGACTGGGCTCTGCAGGACAGGTGACTGTTTTTCCTTCTCTTCCTACCACCCCCTTACCATTAATTTACTGCTGACCAGGATCTGACTTGCACCCTTTCTACCCACCAAGGGGATTTGAGAAAAAGAGAGAGAGAGAGAATGCTAGGAACCCAAGATGGATTGAAATAATTGACCATTTCACATCATCTTAAATTACTCCAGAGAAAAGTTGCCCTCAGGAATGCTTTCTTTTCATCCTCAAGGAATTAAACATTTTGAAAGGATTCCAACTAATGCTCTTTCAAGAACTAGAAACAATAAAAAGACACCTGGGGTTTGAATACAGTTTGTGGCAAGGATGGCTACTTCTCTGAATTCAATAACCATGGACTGGACAGAGTACTGGACTGACCTTCCAGACAATTTCCTTGTCTGAACTGGAAGCTTAGGACAAGCCTGATGTCTCTGAAACTGCCTGAAAGTCTAAGTGGGCAGGCAAAGGGAGTTCTGTTCAACTTTAATAAAGTTCTCTTCAGCAATTCAAGCAGAGACATCAATTTCCTACCAGG